AGGCGTGGCTCATGAATATTAATATGGATATGACAGTTATTTCTCGACGGCTCTGACGGTTACAAGCAAAGTCAGAAGGACTTGATTAATATTCATGAGCGGTTGTGTCGCCATAGTAGACCCGTAATTCTGCGTCCGGTTCACGCTAACCGTTGCTGAATGACAAACGGCGGTTCATTTCAACGCCTCTGGGTGATTAGTTAAATTATAAATACTATTACACTGTTTCTAATCACTAAGGGCGCGCGTGACGCGTCGATGGGCGTGTCCTGTGAACCAAACGTCACGCCTCCAACCGACAACATTCAGCGTCAGACTCCGTACCGAGAAGCTGAACGTTACCGACGGAGTCCGCAGCGAGGAACCGTCTTCTGCAGCGCACTCGGCGGCGGAGAAGCCAGCCGGATCCAGATGTGTGGCGGTTAATGCGCCGATCTCAGAGAATCACGCGCCATGGCTCGGGTCGGTAACGGCGCGGAACCGGAGGTGGTGAGTGTCTGTCTGATATCTGACCGCAAACACCGGCCGTGTCTCGGAACCGGTCGATGCTGACGATTAAACGACGCTTGTGTGGCGGATGCGCTATTTAGGGCACTCGTTAGGCGTTGAGACGCTGACACACTACATAGGGCTCTTCCTCTCAGACGCGGAAGTCGCTGGGCGTTTGTCTAGATTTCTTCATAAACTCGTCAGTCAGAGATTTAATTACATATTGACAGATGTGCGTGTGTGTGTGTGTGTGTGTGTTCAGGTAAACGACATTTGCATATTTATGAAAGGGTGGTGACGTCATAAAGGTTAAGCACGACGCGCATTAGCTTGTTAAAAAATAGTGCTGCGTCGGTCCCATGATACAGCGAGAGTATTAATTTTTTTATATTGCAATAATAACAAAGATTACAGTACGTACAAAACATGCCAAAAACCTTATGATAATAAATGAATTATGGTTTAATAGTTAACAGAATAAATAATATCGTATAAAAAATTCTTAAGAAATAGACAGAATAAATAAAAAAAAAAGTACCTTGGGAGAGAGAATTTTTTTTTTTTTTTTGAAATAAAAATATATTTTTTAATTAATTATTAGCTTTTTGTCAACAAGCCCACTGCAGTTTTCAGGTAAACGACATTTGCATATTTATGAAATGGTGGTGACGTCGTAAAGGTTAAGCACGACGCGCATTAGCTTGTTAAAAAATAGTGCTGCGTCGGTCCCATGATACAGCGAGAGTATTAATTTTTTTATATTGCAGTAACAGAATAAATAATATCGTATAAAAAATTCTTAAGAAATAGACAGAATAAATTTTAAAAAAAGTACCATGGGAGAGAGAATTTTATTTTTTTTTTTGAAATAAAAATATATTTTTTAATTAATTATTAGCTTTTTGTCAACAGAATAAATAAAAAAAAAAGTACCTTGGGAGAGAGAATTTTTTTTTTTTTTTTGAAATAAAAATATATTTTTTAATTAATTATTAGCTTTTTGTCAACAAGCCCACTGCAGTTCTTGAATTAAGCCCAGTTTGGAAAACCCTGGTGTAATGAATTTAATAATGTTGATATAAAAAAATTAAATATATTTTCTTTCTCTTTGCTTTTTTATATCTGAATGGTATGTTTTATTGTAAGTTCAAAACAAGTTGGATGAAAAAAAAAGTAATCTAAAAAGTAGTCAGAATAAATTTACTAATGAGGAGCCTAGATTACATTAATAACTACAGTTTTCATGTAATCTGTCATCACTAATGGACTACAGTTTGTAAGTAATCCACGCAGCTCTGCGTCTCAGCATCATTTCTTATCTCATATTGTCACCTGACAGAAATGTTTCCATGGCAACCAGGTGCTTCAGCCTGCTGTCGTGGATTGGTAATCACACACACACTCACTCACTCACTCACACACACACTCACTCACACACACACACACACTCACTCACACACACA